GTCGTTTTTTGATGGGTCAACAAGCTCAACATGTCAAAACGTCCCAAACTGTCTGGTGCCCAGGGGAGGAAAAAACAGAAAAGAAGAGGAGGAAAAACTCGACAAAGACAGAGGTAATGTTACGGTAAAGATTATGTCAATGATATTATTTTGCTGTTTCCGAACGATGACTGATAACGCCATAATCGCCATTAACAATTAGCATAACAACATGGTTTGCTAATCAATAAATAGCTAGCGCTATCTATCTGTTAACGTCGTCAGATAATGTTATGGAAGGGCCTAGTTGTTATGGAAAATAGTAATGTAACTACCCCCATCATTCCTCCTCGGGCAAATGTGTAAATATTAGATCTATTCAGCAGGTGTTATAACGTTATTTGCATTGACATGGTTATCTGACGTTTTCTCAGCTTGTAATAGTCAATCAAAATGCTCTTCATGTTCCATAGTTGTAAGCCTAGCTGTTTGTTGTGTTACAGTTCATACTGTCTAAAGTGGGTTTATCGTGTTAAACTTAACAGTGTTAAAGTGCACATCATTAATGTTAGAGCATAATTTAGCATTCCCACATGGTATATTATACTGCAGTTTACTCATTCTTTGCAATGCATTCTGCTAATTAGCATTTCACTGTAATGACAATAAAATTGAAATTGTTACTAATATATGAATTACTTATATAATTTGTATCAGAAAAAGTACATTGTATATTATACAGTATAGTCTACATCATGCATGTATCTCTAGGTTTTTCATTTATATTATTTCATTTTATTTTATTCTTAAAATCATGTGTTTATTATTAGACTGGTGTCACATACTCCTCTTCTGTCTTCAGATGCGCTGCTGAGGTTTCTCAGTCCCACCGTTGCAAATCCTCCTGTCGCCTCCACCTCAGCAGCACAACCTAGCAGTGATGCAGCAGCAGCAGTATCAAGCGCTCCTCCTTCTGTTGCTCCAATAGACCCGGCTGACTGGCCATCTCCTCTAACTGATAAGGTACGAACAGAGTTGGTTCACAGTGGTCCATTTCAAATAGAAAATAGCTTCACATTCCCTAAACAAAAGGACGGTCGAAGGTGTCAACATGACTATTTTAACAGAGTCTTAGTCAATGGAGAAAAAGTCAGAAGAAGCTGGCTTATGTACTCTAAAAAAGATGGTAGCTTGAACTGCTTCTGCTGCAAACTTTTTTCTAAAAGAGAGTACAAACTGAACAGGGAAGGACTTAAGGACTGGAAAAATGCAAGTCACTTGCTCAAGGTCCATGAGGATAGTCAGGAGCATAATGCTCACATGGCAACATGGAAGGACTTGGAGGTCTGTTTTGCAAAAGGGCTCACAATAGATAAACAAGAGATGGCACTTGCTGAGGCTGAGAGAAAAAGGTGGCGTGACGTTCTACATCGATTGGTGGCAATAATTCAGTCCTTAGCTGAAAGAAACATGGCTTTTAGGGGTTCTACAGACACATTAAATAAACCAGACAATGGAAATTTCCTGAAAGAGGTGGAGCTTATGGCCAAATTTGATCCAGTGATGAAGCAGCATGTCAGTAGGGTGGAAAGTGGAGCTGGCAGTCATGTACATTATCTTGGCAAAACAATCCAAAATGAACTGATAGACTCCATCAGTTCTAAAATAATAGAACACATTGTGACAGAGATCCAAATATCCAAATATTTCTCCATCATTTTAGACTGCACCCCTGATCTGAGTCATAAGGAACAGCTCTCTGTCATAGTCAGGATAGTGTCACAAGAAGACATCCCTCAAGTAAAAGCGCATTTCTTGGGCTTTCTTGTGGCAGAGCAGTCAACAGGAGGACATTTGTCATCTCTAATCCTAAAAAGGCTAGAGGAACTTAATATCCCATTTGAGGACTGCAGAGGCCAGTCCTATGACAATGGTGTCAATATGAAGGGAAAAAATAAAGGTGTTCAGGCAAAGTTGCTTCAGCTGAACTCAAGAGCTTTTTATGTCCCATGTGGTGCCCACACTTTAAATCTGGTAGTAGCTGATGCTGCAAAAAGCTCACCAGATGCCCTTGGCTACTTTGGGCATTTGACAAAGTTATTCAAGCTCTTCTCAGCCTCCACCCATAGGTGGGATGTCCTCTTGAAATATGTGAAAATCACTCTGAAATCATGGGCTGAGAGCAGGATAAAAAGCATTGAGGCAGTAAGGTATCAGGCTGGGCAAGTCAGAGAGGCTCTTCTGGAGGTGAGGGGAAAAACTGCAGACCCTGTGGTGAGAGTTGAAGCCCAGTCTTTGGCTGAGGAGATTGGATCCTATCGCTTTTGCATTTGTACAGCCCTATGGTATGACATTCTCAGCAAGATCCAGCATGTCAGTAAACTGATGCAGTCACCCTCCATGCAGCTTGATGTGGCTGTCGACTTGCTGAAGAAAACCAGAGATTCCCTCACCAGTTACAGAAACACTGGATTTTCTGATGCACAGACAATTGCAAAGAAGATGTGTGAAGAGATGAATGTGGAGGCTGAACTCAAACAAAAGCGTTTGAGAACCACAAAAAGGCACTTTGGCTATGAGTCTCCAGATGAGCCCATACAAGATGCACTACGAAAAATGGAAACCACATTTTTTAATGTGGTCGTGGATACTGCCATCTCTTCACTTGATGAGAGATTTCAGAATCTTGGAGAGGTGAATAACACGTTTGGTGTGCTCCTCGATTTCCCCAACTTAGAAGAAGAGGACCTGCTACAGAAGTGTCAAACCCTAAGTACTGCTCTGACCCATGACAGCCAGCCGGACATTGATGGCACAGAACTTGCAAAGGAAATGAAGAATTTCCCACCATTGCCATCAAACAATATGACAAACATGGAACTTTTGACCTTCCTGCATGAGAAGAAGCTGGCAGAAATGTACCCCAACATGTGGGTTGCTTTGAGAATCTCTGCTACTCTTCCTGTTACAGTGGCTGCTGCTGAAAGAAGCTTCTCTAAGCTCAAACTGATTAAAACTTACCTGAGATCTACTATGAAGCAAGAACGTCTCAGTGGACTTGCCATTATAAGCAAAGCAGACCATGTGGTCTCAAATCAGTTGTCAGTGCAAAACAGACTATAAACTATAAACAACAGACTATGAACAGCTGCTGCATGCGATGATGATGAATGTAGCGAAGAGGCAGGAGCATCAGAGGAATGAGCATCAGAGGAATGAGCAGGGGCAAAAACACCACTAGAGGTCTTTGTAAGATCATCTTTTTATTTTTATTTAAATCCTTGTATTTTTTTGTGCCTACTCGTTTCTTTAATATCTTATTTTGCACAGTGCCGTATTTATATTGTATTTTTAAGTTAATGTCACTTGTTTACACTTTTTATTTTGGGAGTATTAATAGGTACTTTATGTAAGCTATTTATATTGTATTTCATATGTTCAGTTCATTTTTTTGTATTTGTTTCTTTAATTCTTTCTAAGTATTTTGAATGTGCAATTGCTTTATTTAAATAAAAGAATGTCCAAGACAAAGCTATTACGTTTCTTATGAGTATATACACTAGCAGTGAAATTTACTGCGATGCAACGGGGCGCCACCTGAAATCTTGCCTAGGGTGCCAAATTGGTTAGGGCCAGGCCTGGCAGCCATCATCAATCACCGTTGAAAGTACAAATACTGGCATGCTTGTGTAACTGAAAGAGGAAAGGGAAACCTTAGATTTTTATTTAGAGACAAAAGTTTCTGTTAAATGAGATATGCTACCCTCTATCTTACAGGGATATAGCTCGGTATATTAATTGTGGTTTCATATTCTCACTACCAAGAGCTGAATCAAACACAATTCAAATCCTCAATACTAAACAATAAATAAAATTAAAACATTGAAGATACTGTAAAGTCTTAGCATTTTCTGCAAAGTAACCATCCAACTACAACTGCAAAAGTTTCAGGGTTCTCTGTCCATGTAGCAACGGTTCAAATCCATGAATCTCAAACTGAAACAGTTAACGTATGTGATTCTGTTAGAATCTTTGGTGGGGTATGGGCATGCTTCAGAGGCCTTGTTTGTCATCGATCATGTGGCAATATGAAAATGACACAAGCTTTGAAGTGAGGCTTCATTTGGAACTGCCCCCTCTGCTCGATACAAGATTCGAAGCTTCAGCATCATAGTAACATCACTATTGTAAATACGATCACAATGGCGGCTGAAGCGGTGTTTTGACTTTTCGAGGAGGAGGAAGTTATTGTCCAACAAGGGATGCAAAATAAGGTGGTCAGTGCGTCCTTTGCATGAGGAAAGACATGTCGGGGGAGAATTCAGTGCCGTCCTGAAGCCCATGAGAGCTGTGTATGAGGAGATGACTTTAGATATTTTTGCATGTCTGCTCATTGTTTTGATTAATTGCTTCATCGGATCGAGCTGTTTATCAAAGAATACCCACCGCAGCCCAGTAAATTTACAGGAGAGAGACTAACAGTTACATTAAGGCTTCAGGAATCTGGAAGCAGCCAAAAATGTGTTGCTACTAGCTATAAACTAGGAGTGCCGACTGTCTCCCTCATCGTCTCAGAGACATGTATGGCCATCTGGCAAGTGGTCAAAGATGACTTTGTATCCTTGCCCAAAGGAACTGAGTGGGCAGATCTTTCCCAAAGTTTTGGAGAGTTTGGAACTTTCCCACTTGCTTAGGGTGCATCAATTGAAAACATGTTGCAATTAGAGTCCCACCAAATGTGGGAAGTGCCTATTTCAACTATAAAGGTTCACACGCCATCATGCTACTGATCATTTGTGATGCACGCTATGATTTCATACATTGGGCATATGGTCATGAGAGTGACAGGGGAAATTTTTCTGAGCAGTCGTTTTGGATCCAAACTTCTGCAGAACACCCTTGAACTGCCACCTCCTCAGAACCTGCCTGGTACCAACAACAAGCTTTCCCATGTGCTCCTTGGTGATTTTGTCTTTTCTTTGCATGTGAACTCGATGCAACCATAACCCAGGTAATACACTTAAAACCAACATTTTTGTCATTGATGGAAAGCAACCAAGTACATTAACTCAAGCACTGTACTTAAAGTCCCCATGGCTGTTCATTTTGCTTGTTTTCAGCCATTTAATGTTTAATCTCGGCTACCTTTAAATTAGCTTGGCACCCATCATAACTCCAAATAGTCTGTAAATATTTCAGAACGATAAAACCAGAGCCTCTTCCTGAAAACAAGAGGATAGTTCATGAACGCGCACACCTCCTGTTGCCAGTGTTGTGCCGCAAGTGAACAGCACAACAAACCACGACAGCATTAATTAATGTGAATTTCTCCTCCATAGATAGGTAAACAACTATATGTACCAATGAAAAGAGATGTGTAACACTAAACAAAGCGGGTAGTGGAGAAACCCCATATTTTAACTGGCATAATGCAGACATAGTAACTTCTCCAGCCTTACAACAATTCTCTATTAACATTACAGAAACAAGGCATTAACAGAGACGCAGCATGTGTTTTTTTAAATTTACCACTCCCTTTCAAGTAGCTCCAAGGTTGGTAAATCCAACCGGTGGTCACTGCGTCTTCCCCCACATGACCACATACCGTCCCAAAGTAGTGAAATTAATTCCAACAGGCAGTGTAGCACTGACAATAACATCATGAGTTGTTAATCTGTTGGTTAATCAGCAACACGTCACATGCAGCAGACACACTGGCCTCAAGCAGTCAAAACAAAAGGGTACTGTGCTCCAGGGGAATCCAGCATTGATGAGTTGATCATTCATCACCCCAGGGTGCTTGGCTTGGTTAGGTAAAACAGTGAGTACCTGTACATTCTCAGACATGCAGTAACCTCAGACCCTGTATTTTTCTCTACATCCTCTGGTCACAGTGCAGCAACAGGACGGAAAATATATCCACAAAACCAGTCAAAAAATTTCACTTTTTACAGTGGATGTCAGGCAAGTTCACATGAACACGCATCAGCCTGGAGATAATGACCATTCAAGAAAATCCTTAAACTATAACATACTTTATTTTGTTAGAAAAAAAGGTCTTGTGAGTGAAAGTTTGAGATGTGTATAAAACGGGTTGCTTCTGCATAGAAGTACTAGAACATACAGTACATACACCTCCTGTTTTGAACTTTATGTCAGGTTTAAGATGATAATTCACCATTGTAACATTGTAAACAAGTCAAAAAAACAAGGAAAAGGATGCCACGGGCTCTTGAAGTACAGTTTTGAGGTTTCTGTACATTGATTATTATAATTTTGCCGATATTTGTATTCATTTTTTAGTTACACTTACTAATGATTTTCAGTGGGATATGTACACATAAATTCAAATTATAAGCATATAAGGAATTCCAATAAGAACAGGATATACAATAACATGAAATCTGCCAATCTTCCTTTGTTTTCTTCTTCAAAAGTTTTTCAGGCATCAATCTTGATAAAGCTCAGAAAATTTACAACTACCAACACTCAAGGGCCCAGAGTTTGATTGAGAGCACCTTTGGCATCTTGGCTGCATGCTGGAATATTCTCGGCAGGCCCGTGGTACTTTACTCACACAAGGTCATAGACATTGTGAAGGCATGTGTAGCCCTTCACAACATGCTTGCACGCACAGATGCTATAGTGTCTCCAGTGTGCCG